TAGATAGCATGGAACAGATGAGAATGCCTTTTCAAGGCTTGTTCCAAGTTTTTTTCCGCGACTGCAGACCACACCAGGAACTGCGCCAGGCCCCACCCCAATACTCCCACCCACTTCTAAACACGGTCATTCATTTTTCCACATATAATTTCTGCTTCTGTAAGTTTGGCATCTCTGCTACTTCATGCATGCACACCTATTAATATCCACATAATAACCCACACACACGACTCTGCCCACTTTTTAGAGAGATTATGACGTATTTCTAATTTTTCTGACTTCTTCAACGTTGTCCTTCCCACAGCCATTCTCCAAAGAACGAGTGTACTCACAGATACGCAATCATACACTGGCACATCAAGCTAAGCCCTTTTGGCCAAGGGGGCAGAGCGTTTTTTTCTTCTAAAATTCCAATCATTCCATGAAATTTTTGCCTTTTCAGGCCGCAACCAATAGCTCCGATCACTTTGAGAAGCTCCACCCACTTCACAGAGGACCCACCCATTCCCGACAATGCTCCAGATCTTCAGGTTAGAGACTCAACTGGCGTAAGAGGGTCTTGCTCGTCACTCGGAATAAGTTTACCTGGTTTTTTTTTGTTCTGGACGAAGGAAAGAATATGGTCGGCTGACTGATCTCAATCACTTCTCAAAAATGGGCTGGGCTTCTACCAAGTGGCCGGAGCTTCTTGTACTGAGCGTAGTTGCCGCTTGCATCATAAGAAGGCGAGAGTTTTGGTGAATAAACTCCTTTCAGCAAGAAGAGCAAATTTTCTCACTGATATAAAGAGACCCAAGTGACGTCGAGGAGGGTGACTTAATAGCTACATCACGGTCAAGCGGTCCCCAGGTCGACCCCGCATCGCGACGGGCGGTATTCCACAACCCGTGAGGTGGCAGCCCTTCTCGACTTTTGCAATTTCTGATCTACCGTGAGGTTGAGAAGAGTAACTAGTAGTAGCTACTCGACGGAAAAGTGTCTTCGGGGTGGTCGACCCCGCACCGCGGCCGCTGATCAAAATGAGCCATAACTCTGGTGATCGATATCGTGAGATGCTTTACTAGACCAGCCAAA